CCCCCCCCCCTGTTTTCGGTATCCCATGACCTTCGTCCATGCCCACCGGTACTTCTCCGCACGCAACAACGACGACGACTTACAAACAGGGCTCCGCTGACGTGGTGTTCGGGGTGGAGCTTGTGAGTATCAACTTCTCGATCAACGCGTCGGACGCGAGGGACAACTTCTACACGGACGATCCTTGCGACGCGGCCGCCGTCGCCGCCGGAAACGCCAGCGGACAGTGCATGAAATGATGAGCGTGGAAAACATACAACCAAGATAGACTCGCTTCGCTCCGCCTCGGATGTGAATGCTGCTGTTCGTTGATAGACTTTTCACAGAGACTTTGGTCTGCCAATTTGAGCGCTCGATGCAAAACAAATTCAAGAGACAAACATACAACACCCATGGTCGGGAGATCGGGGGGCGTGCTCCAAACCCAGCAGCAGCAGATGCTATTATAACTCGTACGGTGACTGGTGACTGGTAGCACCGGTATTTTTCCGACCAGCAAGTGGTTGTGCAGGGGGGTACGGAGAAGGTGATTCTCCCTGGGGACCATAACGCGTTGTTGCCTTCATCCTCTAATGTTAGCTTCAGAGCGCGCATCCAAGGTTGCGCGGAGAAAGCAAGTACTGCTGGGACGAAATGACTGCGGCCGTCTTCCGGCCTTTTGTAGCGGTGAAGAAGCACGGAGACAGACGTGTCACAGGTCGTGCTGAACAAGGGGAAGAAGAAGGTGCACCACCGTCAGAGACAGCTGATGAATTCCCCAGCACGGACGTGCCCGTTCGGCGCGTACGCGAATGGCTCCTCCGCATTCTCGCGCGCCCAGTGTCTCTGGCGGCGAAAAACCCGTGTCATATCTGGTCGAAATGAGAAAAGGAAGCACTTCAATTGCACGGCAGGTGGAATTTGGTAGCGATATTTTTCGGCGATGCGGAATGTCAAAAAGGAAGCGCAAAAAAAGAATCAAAGCCGAAACTAGATGGAACATCTGTTCAGCAGCTCCCCCGACAAACTAACCCGCGTCGGGTAGCCGCCAGGGTGGTAAATAGACGTGTCCTTTCATCTTCTGCTGTGGTTGTGCTTGACTTTCGACCCTGACCCCGCGGGCGTAAGCTCGGCGCAGTGAGTGAGACCCTGACCCCGCAGCCCGGATGCACAGAACTAGCCCTACGAAAAGTTTGGTGCATTCGGGCTGCCGCGACAAGGACCCACTCCCTGCTGCGCCGAGCACAAGAACACGGGGGCAAGAGTCGAATGTCAAGCAAGTGCTAAGCACAAAAACATCTGTATAGGTAAATCTACATTTTACAATACATCCCCTGTAGTTCTCTACTGGGTCAACGACAAAATATCGGGGAGAATCCCTCCGTAGTGTCGTGTACTGTAAGATGTAACCTTCACAGGGGACACGGCGCAGTGTCTAATGACAGCTTGCTGGTTTTAGGAATTTAAGGAGAAATAAATAATATTGATGTAAAATCATGGAAGATGGAACGAAGGCTACAGCAGTACATCACTCGTTTTTCAAACCTATAGATTTTTGAATTTCACGGGCAGTAGGTGTTTTACGCCGTTTTTTAACAACTACAAAAAAAACTTTCTGTAGTAGAAGAGAATGGTACACCTGGTGCATGGTAGGTAGGGCATAGCGTTCAGTTTGTATCGTGTTAGCTGGTATCCTGGTATGTTTGGTGTTGGTAATCAGCATCAGTAGAACACGGAAAGTGTTCAAGTGATATACATCCAATGTGGCCATTGTTGTCAACTTCCCTGGTGTTCCTCAGAGCGGTTTGCCATTTGGACTAGACTATGGGCCGCAGAACGCGGGCTACAGGAGGACTGTTCCGAACCGTTTTTTTTGCTGCGTAGAACCTGTTCGGCGGGAAACCTAAAAAAAAAAAGGTTTTGCAAAGACAGACCCAGACCACACACACACACTCCGCGGCCGCGAAGATACAGCCAGCAGGGCTCGCTCGCGGGAATCACCGGTTGGAGACCTTCCCGGCGGACCTACCAACATGTCGGATTCGGAAAGCGCTGCCAACGCACCAAAGCGCAAGAATTTGACAACTCTCGAGAAAAAAAGCATGGTTGCCGAGCTGCTCAATCAAGTGGAGCAACAACGGGGTTCTGGTCCATGGCGACTTCAAGTGGGTGGCCGCTATGTACCAGCAGCATGCACGCACGGTGAGCAAGTACTGGCGGAGGTACAACAGCAAGAAGGAGCCCGGTGAGGTAGATCCCGACCTTCACAACAAACGTAAAGGCAACAGCGGCCGGAAGGGGATCGACATCACCGCGCTTAACCCTTCTGGGACTCCAACGGGAATTTTGTGATCACTGGAAATGATCATTTCTCATATTTGTGCTCGGTCAGCCCGGTCTCTTCGACCCGGGGATGATAGAAACAAAACCCCGAACCTGCACGCATGGAGTTGTACAGCAGCAC